AGTCTGCCAGTAAGAGGGAAGTCACAGTCTTTTGTAGCCTAATCACAGAAGTGACATCCCCTCAATGCGGCTGTGTTCTATAGGATAAAAGCAAGTTATTCACATGTCTACACAAAGACTTTATCTGACTGTCTATAGCAGCTTTATTTAAAAGAGCACCAAATTGGAAACAACACAAATGTCCATTAACAGGTGAATGGATAACAAATTGTATTATATCCATAGTAGGGCACACGATTTATAGGAATAAACTACTGATAATGTGTTTAATTTCCCTTGGGTAAATATCTAGAAGTGAAGTGGCTGAGTCACATGGTAGGTACATGTTTAACTTTATAGGAAACTGCCAAACTGTTTATGAAATGATCATTCCATTTTACATTCCTACTAGCAGTGTATGAGTTTAGTTCTCCACATCCTCCCTAACCTTTGGGGTGGTCGGTTATATTTTATTTGAGCCATTCTAATGATAACTCATTATAGTTTTAATTTGCATTTCCCTGATGATGGATGATGATAAACATCTTTTCATATGCTTATTGGTCATTCACATATTTTATTTTGGAAAGTGCTTGTTCAAATATGTTGCCCATTTTTCTTACTGGGTTGTCTTGTAATCAAGTTGTAGTTATTCTTCACATAGTCTGTATATAAGGCCTTTGACATATATGTTAAAAATGTTTTCCATTCTATAGCTTGCCTTATCATTTTCATTGCAGTATATTTCAAAAAGCTGGAGTTCCTTTTTTTAAAATTTTGATGAGATCCATTTTTTATGTCTCATGTATTTAATGCTCCAAGAAAACTTTCCTACCCCAAGGTTACAAAGATATTCTATGTTTCTCTAGAAGTTCATAATTTTAGGTTTTACATTTAGGTTTGTGACCTACTTTGAGTTAATTTTTGTGTATCGTGTGAAGTAAGTGACAACATACGTTTTTTCCAGACTGCCCAGGATTAGTAATCCTGGTTCTGTTATTTACTGTAGATCATAGGCAATTCAATGTTTCTGGTTCCTGTTTCATTAACAATATAATGTAGGATTGATAAAAAGATTAAGGTTAACTTATGTTTAACATTAGGCACATGTTAGGCCCTGGCTAACAATGCAGATATTGCGATTAACACATTAGAAACATGATTGCCCTGAGAGAACAGGTAAGATGACTAAAAGTGTGAAAGTCAAATTGTGTACACATAAAAAGGATAAAGAGGGCACTGATCCCAGAAAAGGTGCAGGTTGTCAAAGCTTTAGTATCAGTTTCCCTTGTGTGCTAGGAGAGTGTATAAATATGAAAAACACACAGAAACCAATCTCTTCGTACGTACAAATTTCACCCCTTTGATGTTTGAAATTAGTGTTTGGGATGGCTGGTAAAAGTCGTTTAGCTCTGAATTTTGCAGAGGGCTCAAACTTTACGGCCTAAGAATCCTTAGTTGGTACACGTATTTCCAGAGGGTTATTACTTTGAAAGTAACACAATTCAACAAATGTTTTTTTCAGTACCAGGAATATAGGGATCTTAACTCTTGAAAAATGGAATCCAGTCCATATATTTCCCCAATAAAATGTCCATTGTTGGCTGGGCGTGGTGGCTCACACCTGTAATCCTAGCACTCCGGGAGGCCGAGGCAGGCGGATTGTTTGAGCTCAGGAGTTCGAAACCAGCCTGAGAAAGAGCGAGACCCCGTCTCTACTAAAAATAGAAAGAAATTAATCAGATAACTAAAAACATATAGAAAAAATTAGCCGGGCATAGTGGCGCATGCCTGTAGTCCCAGCTACTCGGGAGGCTGAGGCAGAAGGATTGCTTGAGCCCAGTAGTTTGAGGTTGCTGTGAGCTAGGCTAACGCCATGGCACTCTAGCCCAGGCAACACAGTGAGACTCTGTCTCAAAAAAAAAAAAAAATGTCCATTGTTTAAGCCCATTGGGATACTTACTTGAAAGTAAGCGATTCTATTCTTTCTGTACTAACCAATGGCATGAGCTTCTTCCCAGTGTGGCTCCCAAATCTCCCCTAAGATTTGTACAAAGGTTTTGATTGGAACCCCTGGAGGATCTGTTGAGGGGAACATGCTCTACATCCTTCAAAAAATACACTCCCCCATATCCAAAATTAAAAATAGAGACCTTTTTACAGCTATGGGGAAGCTTCCCCGCACTAATTTCAGAGACAGGACAATTTTACTCTTCAGCAACCAGGTTGTCACTTTACCTCAAATGACCACCATTTCCCAGATGAAAGTCAGGGTAAGTGTAGGTGGGGAAACTGTGCTCTGCATGTTTTCTATTTGAGGCCCTAAACAACCATAACCAGGAAAAAACAAACAAACTAAAAAAGAAAAAGCTCAAAATTAACAACGTAATTAAACTTTTCTGTGACACTGATCAATACAAAGTAATGAAAGAAGACTGAGTTTGTCCAGCCACAAACCCCCAGGAACACACTCAGTTGGGTTTTTCACTCATTACAATGAGGGAGACAGACGAGGTAGGACGCCATGGGTATCTCAGTAAGAGGATGTTAGTAAGAACTCACTATTGGATTTGGGTTTGTTTTGGATAATTTGGGATAAGTTTCAAGGAAGTAGATCTCTCTTCTGTATGGGATGTTGTCAAGAATTGGGGGCAATGCTATGATTGGAGTAAATCTTATCTATAAGACGGGAGGAATAAATCAAGGCTAAAGCTATAATTGGTAATGAATCAATAGCCCTTCATATCAGCCAGGATGGGGGAATATGTAGCATTTTTGTGTTAAGAAAATATTCATGCTTTTGTCATGTGTTTAGTCATGATTACAGAATGGTCTTGTTTTGTCTTGTTCTGTCATGATACAGAGTGGCCTTGTCTTGGGTTGATGTTCTCTGAAACTACGTTCAACAAAGAAACACCATGGCCCAGCTGTGAGCTCCATGGCAGCTCCTAGCAACACCAAGGCCTAGCTGATAGTGCGAAGTTAGTTCCTAGCTATAATTTTCATCAGCTGTAAGGAGGCATAAACCAAGGAATACGACCTAATCTAGGAGAACATGGATGGCTTCCCAGAGGAACTGACATTTAAATTAAGAGTTTAAAGTTTAAAAGATCTTCTGTCGCCACAGTCTCAGGAGTTCATTTAGCCTTTTCTTCTGTTTCTCTTTTCTTCTACTCACCAACACAATTTTTTCTTACGAATGAATTATACTTAGAAAGCCTTAGTCAAAGCCGGCTTCTCACACCATTTCCAATCATCTCTAAATGTGAGATTTTCCCTGACTGTGCAGTTTCCTTTGGGCAGCATCTGTTAAAATTTCTTGTGAGAAAATCATAATCATAATAATAATACTGGTTCCATTTAAATAGTAAATTAATGATAAATAATACACATTTTTAAAAAGGGTACCAAAAATGTTTAAAGACACAAGATTGTTGTACAGGAAATAAAATGATTTAATAATTCTCTCAAAATTGTATTCCTGATATAGAGTAGAATATTATTATAAAAAATTAAAAATTTGGTCTTCAAAGTTAATGAGGCGAGTTTGATTGGTACCTGAAGAAAAGATGGAAAATATATCTTCTTTTTTCCCTTATTTCAAAGCTTGAAGGTAGAAACGAGAAATAGAAGTTTATCCCATTGTAGAATTAATGAACTTGCCTGCAAAACTCACTTGATGAAAGTCTTTAAATCTCATGGAATTCCAGATCTTCAAAAGGCCTTAGGAGATTAGGGAATGCTAAAGCCTTGTCAGTGGGCTGAATATCACATCCGCTGTCATGCTGAATAACAGATGATTTAAATAAGATCCAACCACCGCCAGGCAAAATGGAAGCATCTTTCTAAGAACTGGTCGTACATCCCTACTGGGAAGAGTGTACACTGATCTTAAACGCATACAGCCCATGAGAGAGGAGCTGGCAGATTATGCACTGGGTAACTAACCTAAGATATTTCTTACTGTCTATGGCTTGAGAATTTGAATTCTCAGTGATCATTCTATTTTAAACATTTGGTGCTAAGGGTAAACCATGGTAACAGTAAAACAGGCTAGATGGATTATTTTGTATTTTCTGGTCATCAAGAGATAATGCATTAGTATATATCTCAAATAGTCATTTTTGTTATTTTACTTATAAGTTTGGATTCAATTTCAACAAATACCTATTGAGAGCCCCCTACTTTATCAAACATTATGTTGGGTGATTTCACATCACTACCATGCAACAATGTGGTAGAATAAGTATTAATATCCCTGATTTTTTTGAAGAACAGTTAGTAAGGATCCATATTCTTCTACATAACATTTAGTAAAGCAAAATCCTATTGATGGTGAGAAATCCAGCACACGAAATAGCACAGAAATCTCATCTTTGACCAAGAGAAAATCTTGAAAGTATATTTAGTACAGATTCAGATATATTGTCAATTAATTTGCAATCCAAGCATGTCAGTCCACATAGTAGATTTCTTTTATAGATATGGAGTCTGAATACAGTTTGAGTGCAAATCAATTTTATATGCACTCATAAAAACGTCTGTATAATTAAAGGGTACCAACTCCAGTGCACACAGCTTCTAAGAACTAGCATGAGAATGCAGGGGCTAATTACTCTGTAGGATGTGAAAAGGCTCAAAGGGCCTGGAGATCTAATTCCTTCCCACTAAAATATGCAGTGGTGGGTGTCTAGAAGTTAAAGCACTCTTGGATTTCACATTTCTTTTATACTGCTAAATATTTGCCAACATATCTTTTACAATCAGACATATTTTCAAAGCTTGTAAATTCTACTAATTAAAAATGATACAAGCCAGTTGAAAGAGCAGCTGTAGCAGCAGACAGGCAGGAGAAGTTGGCTAACAAGAATGCCACAGCAGGTCTGGACCCTCTGAAGTTTCTGTTTTCTTTGTTTCAATGTTCTCTTTTGTATATTTAAAAGTAAATGAGCTCAATATTTCTGTTTTTAGAAGTAATTATTTTTGCTTTATGTTAAAAAAGAAAAGAAAAGATATGGATGTTCATTTTGGCTGTTTTATTGTGATGCGTAGCTAACAATATGTCAGGTACTATTAGTTGCTATTGGACGTACCACACATAAATAAACAATGAAGCAGGCTCAAGACTCTCACCCATTCTGGAAAACAGAGGAACACGACGGTAACCTGCAAAAGGAATCATATCTAATTAGAATAATAAAAACAAATTAATCCGTGGTGGCTCCAGTAGTGCTACTGAGATAGAAGGTATCTTTACTAAGCATGCATTAAAAAGCATGCCCATAGAGTTATATTTCCATCTTGTATGTTAATCTTCCACAAAAAGTTAAATATCTGCATTTTTAATTCTAACTTCCTACTGCCCAACACTGAGCATACAGCTTCTCCTCCTTCCAAGGGCAGCATCATCCAAAATTTGCCACCGCCCTTCTGCTTCAGGAAGACCTTGTCTCCTAGGCACAGCTCAGGTGCTGTTAGAAAACTAAACCTACTGAGATGAAGGAATTGGGAGCACAGTGTGAATCACCCCAGGAAGGTGACTCTGCAATGAAAGGGCAGCCAGGCATGAAAAGGGGTCAGGAAAGGACAGTCTTGGGCTCTCAGTCTCTTCTCCTCAGGCAGGGAGAACGAGTCACTGCCTCTCCCTCCTGGTTGATTGTCATCGTCATTTCTTTTTGGTAGTCATAACTACTCTTCACTGAAACAGAAGAACTATGATCCATGTAAAGAAATTCTTATACACGCCAAGTTTGTCTAATTAGTCTTCCCAGCAATTCCACACTCCCACCCCATCTTCCACATGAGAACACATTTCTGTAATTCCACAGAGAAAAAAATATGTGTCGATGCATAAAATTTCCTTTACATTCTATTTTTATGGATAGAGCTATTTGGTATATCAAAGTATGTTTTTAATATATTTAAAGGTTAGTATAATCACCTAACTTTTAGGAACATTACCTTTGTTCATACATAGAAGTGGTATAGTATATTGCCCAAGAAATTCATTTCCTGTTATTAAACCTTGATTTTCAACAACAAAACGTATCAATGCCAATTCTGGTACATGAATAATAAATGTGAATGTTTCATTCCATCTTGGACTAAAAGCTGAAAAATATAAAAAAAAAGATACAAAGAATCATAGACACTATCTCTAGGGAAAAATAGATAATACCTATTCTGCATGATTTTTCTGTTCAACACTTTAGCAATAATAGTAGTTTGTGTTTTAGGGCACTTAAGTTTTTCACATACCCACCGAGAGAAGAATAATACAATATTGGGAGTTTACTATTGCTGGACAATGTTCTAAAAACTTTACATAGATCATCTCAATTAATCTTCCTAACAACTCCATCAGGGTTATTACTCTCCCCATTTACAGATGGGAAAACTGAGCCACAAAGATGTTACATAATTTCCTAAGAGTTTCACATAGGCAGTTATTAAGTGGTAGAGCAGGAATTCAAACACAGGGAGTCTGACTTGAGAGCAGAAAGGTTTAATCATTAAGCAATATGACTGATGTGCTTAGGCATTTTCTTAACAAAGAAATTGAGACATAAAGTTAAGTAGCGTCATTTTTCCATACCAGGTCCTATTAAGGGAAGAGCTCCATATACAGGTGCTGGACTGAAAGCTAGATAATGACTGCTTTAAAGCCAGCTCTTAACCCTTCTTTTGAGTAAGTGCTCATTTCAAAATCCAAAATTGATGATAATTTCTGTCTCTAGCAAAATAAATCGTCCCAAACAACCAATCCCTTGCCAAACAAGAAATTCAAATGTGTCACCAGGATTTGTATGACCCAAATCATCCAAAACTTAAAGTGTAATTTAATGCAATCAAGAAATTCACATCCAGATTAAATAAATGCTCTACTTAGTAAAGACTCAAAGGTGTGGAGAGGAATAATACGTATATTTTTTTCACATACAAAGGCAAAGCTACACTTGCTCTGTTGACAGCTTTTGTTCTTTGAGGTCCATTTCCAGAAGCATTGATGAAGCTGTGCCTAATTATACTATATCTATGTTTTCTCTGCAGCACCTGTGGTCACAGGAGCACGTTCACCAGATGGCCATCCAGGATGCAGTCTATGCTTGTGGAAATAGTAAACTAATTGGCTCACGCTGGAATAATGACTGTACTACCTCAACATAAGAAAAGAAATAATTCCATGGGGTAACAGGGCAGGTTTAGAGTCAATTCTTTACAAACACTGAAAAACGTCTGCAGAAAATTTTTACACTGATTACTTCTTCCTCCTCCAACCCTACTTCACTGCACATGCCCTTTCCGCCTCCCTCCCTCCGTATCTCTCTTTCTCTATCTCTGTCAGTTTCTGTCTCTTTTTACCTCACTCTCACGCACACACACACAAAAATACGAATTATAGGAGAAAGTCCTAACTTTTAGGTGTCAAAGTCAAAAAAAAGTAAACCAGGATACCAAATTTGATAGCGATGGATATAGTTTTCCCAGACATGACCAAAACTAAAGAATTATTTCCACACTTTAACCAAATGTGATCTTCTTCCTCCCAGACTCTCTTGTCTTTAATTACACTACCATTCCCCTCGTAGCTAAGTCATCTTAAAATCCCTCTTGCCCAGCTATCTAGACATTTTCTCCTGCAAGTTTCTCACTTACAGCCCCTGTTCCTTTCCTGAGGCCACAGCCCTCTTTACAACCTGACTTTTACAGCCTCTAACCATTGAAATTATATCTTGACTCTACTTCGTATTTCTCATTTCGTTCTCATAGACTTCTTCCTACCTCATCTGCAGAAACAATCTGCCTAACACTCGTCTCTGTTAGTGTTACAATGTATATCCCTGTTTAAAAGTCTTAATTTTATCCACAATCTAGAGAAAAGAAAGTTCCTAACACCTTAGCATGGCTTTCAAGATTTTCCATGACCATTCCTAGTAACTTTCTCATTTTATTTCTCACCAATCTTTTTTAAGCACCCTATATTACCCCCATCTTGAGCTTCTTGGTTTTTCCCTAGCGTGTTTGAATTATGTCTTCCTCATGTTTTAAGATTCGTATTATTCTTTCTGCCTTAAATGTCCTTATCCCTAATCTCTGCAAAAAAAAAAAAATTCTACTCATGCTCCAAGAGCCATCCCAAATGTGAGCTTTCCACTTCCACTTCTTTGTACTCTCCTTGAAGCACTAATGGTGCTGTATCATAATAATTTTACTTGCATCTCATCTCTCATACTGAACTGTAAACTATACTAAATTGGGACATACATAATAATGCATTTAATAAAACAGATTTTAAGTCTTTTGATATTTATCACCAGGCTTTTAGCATAGCAGAGGCTCAGTAATGTTTGATGAATCAAATTGAATTTCTGCAGGGATAGTCTTGTAAAACACAGGGATGTAATCAAAATTCTAGAATCACAGCATTATAAAGGGTACATTGAATAAATTAAGGCTCCATGCATTTTACAATGAAGATTCAGGTAGCAGATAGAGAACAAAAGATAGGTTATTATAAGCCATCAACAGTTCCTATTTCTTGACACTGCCACTGTAATGTGCCTTCCACTCTAAGGGGCGCCAAATGAGGTGGTAAGTCATCATCAACATCCCTTCACATTGATAATTTGGAGCAAGGCGGAAAAAACTACTCAAATCTCTTTTCCATGCCTTTTGCTCTAGAGGCCACGCTGGGGGAGTATTCAGGGGAGCACATGGGAGGCAGCCCGTGGACATGGTTAGAAATTATCATCCAAGGAGAAAAAGATAAATAAAACTGCACCTGCTCCTCTGCCAGTGCCATTTAGCTTGGAGCATATTTACAGACTCTAAAATGAAGTCCACTATACTTTGGGAATATCCACTGACAGAAGATTCTAGACTCAAGGATCAGTTCCAAGGTCTCCTCCAAAGTGACTCTGACTCGGGTCAATCTCAAGAATCTACCACTTCTAATTTCCTTAGTGATTTTTAACCTCGGAGAAGAAATGACAATGCCAGTAGTGTATTGCATAAGATAAAAAAGATGGCAAAATGCTAAAAATCTTACTAAAATTATTTATTCTAATCCTCCACTTCCTTTCTGGAAAAATGACTGAATTATGAATCCAAATATTATATCAGTAGGTTTCTATGGCATCCTTAGTCTGAGTCAGATGCCACAGACATTTGATCTGAAATGATTCAAGCAGTCAGGTAAAAATGTGTAATATGCTATGTCAGAACAATCATGAGTTTTTTATTTTAACACAGAGGCTAGAGGCTAAGTAGATTTGCAACTGTCAAAATGTCTTTCTTAATTCAGCAATATGGAGGAAAACATAAAAAGGAAGTAAAAGTTTTTTAAAAAAAGTAATAAAATCTTTCAGGTCAGATAAATGTCTGCACCCATAATCTGAAAATATACCTAAATGACCTAATTATTATCAAATTGTTATTTCTGTATATAACATTTTGGTAATTTTGAACATAAGGAAAACCTTTTCCCTTATGAATAATATATGTAAAAACTATCAATGTACAATTTGTAAGCTTTCCAACAGGAAGTCTAATAGAAATTCAATAAGATATATTAGGAGCTCACCATTTTTTTTAATTACACGAGTCTGCTGCTTCGTTTGATCATTTGGAACACCAAAAACTTCTATAATCACTGATGTGTCAGCTTTGTTAGATGATGCATTATTAAGAGGCAACTGGATACCACTGATGAGCTGCACAAGTATATATGAATACCAACATTTAGCAGAATATTAAATTGCATCACCACTTAATTTCAAAATAAAATTATGTATCACAAAAATGCTGATAAACTCTAAGTCAGTTCCCACCCAAAATACTGAAACTCGAAAATAATGCAAATTTAAAATTTAAGTCTTTTATCCTCAAGTATCAGTTGATAAATACCAAAAATATGTCCAAATCATTCCACTTTAAGGAAATGTGATTATAGCAGAATCCACAATGTCCAAGGTTAATGACTCGATAACATATATTTTTATTTTAAAAGCATTTGTTATGATTATCCTTTATTATAATTTAGGCTGAGTTACTCTGATAGTATGTACCATTTATAAATTTGTATTATATATGCTGCAAAAAATTAAAAGCAATATGAATATTAAAAAAGCACCATATAACTTTTTATAACAGCATTTTCTGATGATAGAATTTATGTGTGAATACTTTATGAAATTTTGCATTATCCATTCTTACCTATATTATTATGATAAGTAACCTGAATCTGACAAAATCAGTTGTCTCAAATGTATATAAGGGACTGAGTAGAGAATGTTTAACAAAGTAATTAATAATAGTTTTATTTAACCTTTTATTAGCAAAGCTAATCATTGAGGCAAAAATTTGTTTTACTTTAAAGGGGAACAAAATGAGCATTTAAAAAAACTGTATGTGAAATGTACTAATTTAGGGTAAGAAATGGAAGACATGAGCCTAAAAATGCAGTTGTAAAAACTGAGGCATAATTTCAATTTTTGAAGATTATATAACAAGGAACAAATAAATTAAGTTTGGTAAAAATGAAGGAACAAAGGGAGAGAGAAAGGAGGGAGAAAAGAAAGGAAAAACTGCTAATGTATAATTTTTCCTTTCCTAAACCTGCACGTGATGGCATTAGCTAGAAATCAGAGTGACTATGCAAATATTTAACCATCAGGATAGAATGGCCATCAATCAATCAGCATAATTAAGCATCAGAGTAATTAGAAAGAACATTGACCATAAACACTTAGTATACTGATACCAAATAGCAGTGCATACCAGCTAAATATCACTCTGCAGGTAATAGACCCTTACCAAAAGCTTGGTACACCTCATCGTCTAATTTTGAAAATAGACCCTTACCAAAAGCTTGGTACACCTCATCGTCTAATTTTGAAAAACATAATTGAATATGAGAACCAAAAGAGAATTCAGGGAGTACTGCTCAAATAATTTGTAAACTGTAATTCACAAAGCCCACTGTGGAGGAAGGGAAGTCAAACAAAAAGCCCTCAGTGGTCAATCAGAGTAGCTCTGCTTTCACGCATTGGCCTCAGGCATAATATTTTGAATTTGAATTTAGAATGTAGGTTCATGGTTTTTGTAAATTTGAAAATCACTGACCTAGACCAAAACTCTCAGTTCGAAGATGACAAAGAATAAACCAGAAATGCTGAATGCCTTCATCAGGGATGTAAGAAAGCTAATAGTAAAACTAGGCCCTCTGATTCCCAAGTCACACTCTCCACATTTTGTGCAGGTCATAAAGTAATCACAAAGCTCCCTCGAATGATTGAAGCAAGAGAGAAAGACCCACATGGCTATGACAGCAGCTTCCTGGAAGAATAATTAGGCCTGCCTACTTCACTCCATGGCACCTACACCTCAACACAAGACTCCTCAAAATATGAACACGTGGCATTAGCGAGCATCTGCACATAACAGCTACCTTCCACCTTCACTTTCTCAGTAAAAGAGCACATATGTTCTCTTAACCATTCTCAGTAGGAAAAAGAAATCATCCATGCAATCAACCTACAAATATCAAGCATATACTTTTTGTCAGGCACCATGAATAAAGATTAAACAAAATACAGTTCTTATCCTTAAAGAATCCTCTAACAAGTAGGAAGAAAGATAAGTCACAAGAAAATAATTATAATGCAGTGTGATAATAGCCATAATATGTTGCATACTGCCATAATATATGCATGCATAGGGTGTTAGAGAAAAAGAGAGAAAAACTACAAAAAGAAGCACAACTAATCTGGCCTAGGAAAATGGTTCCAAAAAGAAGTGATTCCTAAGTCTTGAAGAGTGAGTCAGAATGCAGTAGGTAGGGGAAGGAGGAAAGAAGGGTCCAGTCAGAGGAAAGAGGATACGCAATTTACGGAGGTGAAGCATGATCAGAGAAGAATCCTGGTTTCATATGGTCATAGAACAGGGTGAAAGACTAGAACAGGTGAGAGATAGGGCTACAGAAGTAGGCCAAGGGCCTGACTAGGAAAGCAATCAGGAAAGCAAATATTAAGTAGGCATGATCAGACTGGAGGCGTGGCAAAATCTCTCTGGTCAACTTGCGGAGGATGGGTCAGAAGGACTCAGACAGGCTACCTGAAACCCTTAGTAAGCCAAAGGAACAGACCCAGATGCAGGTAGTAAATTCCTGAAACAAGGCAGCAGCAAGGTGAGACCAAGAGAATGGATACGGAAGACACTGAGGAATAGAATCGGCAGAAATTAAAGATGTTTGGGATATGGGAAGTGAAGGAGATGTGGGAGATTAGAATGGCTCCCGATTTTCTAGTCTGAGCAGCACAAGGGAAGGGGCTGTTCATTGAGATTTAAATAACATAGCGGAAGAAGATTTGACTAGGAAGGGATGTTCAAATTTTAATATTTTAAGTTTGACAGAATGGTGATTAAATAGGTAAGGATGCTAAGCAGGCCATTAAAATATGTCTTTAGATTCCAAAACTGACTTTAAAGATTTGAACATTGGTGGTGGTTAAACCATGAATGTTTGTATAACAGAATCTAAGGAAGATATTTAGTTTGAGACAAAAGTTAAGAAAAAGCTTTAGATAAGGTAAATATTTTAAGGCCAGGTAGTGGCAGAGGAACCCACAAGTGAAAATGAGAAAGAATTACTTGATAAGTAGGAAAAAGGGGGAGAGAGCACAGTCCTAGAGCACAGAAGGGAGATTTGTGTGGGGTAGGAGGGGATTTTAAAAGTGGCTGACTTGCCTGTTCTTTTCACTTGATCAATCATTAAAAAATTACAAAAAAAAAAAAAAAAAGGACACCAACATAATAATAACACCATAAAGTAAGCTCAGTGGTCAATACCGCTCCAGATTGTAGAAACGGTGACAACTAATCAATTTTTGGCTGCATCCAGCATTGTAGGCAATTGCTGCCTGTCCACTATATGCTCCTACACTAGAATCACAAAATCCTCAACAGCCTGTAAAAAAGTCAGCCACATAATTCCACTGTTAATTGCAATGGCCAGGATCATTTCAGTCCCATTCGTCTTTGCAGAACTCTCTCTCTCTCTACATTAATTTCTGGGAAACGGCTCTCGAACATCCCATCCTCAGCTGGTCTAAAATAGCTAGGGCCTGAGGTGGATGAGCGTGGTCTCCCAAATCCTGCCATGTTGTGATGGTGGAGGAAGGAGCCGAGCTAGGAAGAGTCGCAGAAGGAACATTCGTGCACTCTGAACGCCAGGTAATGAGGGACAGGAGGGTGTTCCTCAGCCGGCAGAGCTTCACTGAGTAATAACATGAGACACAATCAACCTGGCCAGGGACAGCAACGTAAGTATTTATCAAACTTCCAGAGTAGGGTCTGAGATGCTTCATATGCTTCTAGGAGCAACTCGTTAATAGAAAGAGGGACCAAAGAGACCATATCCACCCTATTTATTTGCAAACCACAGGTACAGATACAGTCTAAAATAGGATGCTCATAGTTAAGTGGAGAGAAAAAAGCAACTGGAGGTTTTTCAAGACTCGGTGACATTTAAAAAAGGAAATAAACATAGCCCTTAGGTTATAAAAGAATAAGAAAGGTTTCAAAAAGTCTTTACTAACGGTAACAAATGATAGACAACTGCTTTTGCTCTGAACAAAATTATACAGGATGTGATAAAACAAAAGATGAAAGGTGAACTAATAAGACAGGAGCGTGGCGCGTGGGGGAAGCATTCTGGCTAGGATACAGACAGAAGCCGAAAGGAAGCAATACGAGGGAAGCAGCAACTGGGGGGAAAACGAATAATGCAAGAGAAAAAGTGACATCTACATTAAAATCAGTAAAGAATAAAATCAACTACAGAGTTTAAATCATCAACATAAGGAACAAATGTTAAAAGCTCTCCCAAAATGTGGAGGTAAAGGGAACAGGATAAAGTTGACACAAATTAGTAGACATAAAGGATAGACGATAGAGAAAAACATATAGATACTTTTAAGTAATCAAATAATATTCAGAGACATAAGGGGAAAATAAAAATCCTGAACTACAAAAGCCTAATTTTGGAAATTAATGAAAACGGCTTCTAGAATTTTCTGGTAAAATTTTTAAAGTTAAGGGAAGGAAAACCAGCATGTCCACAGGATGATTAGTGGGCTGAAATCATATCTCCTTATCACAACATTAAATGCCTAAATACAATCGAACAGATGGCTTTAGCCTCAATATTTCTATTCACAGGCAGATAAACATTCATATAAAAATGCAACAGGAAGACATGTTCAGATAAAGGAGGATGCTGAAATACCATCCACCTGTAGTGCCTGAAAAGATTAACAGAACTCTTAATAGTCATTAAAACAAATCAATGGAATTCGAAATATTAATTTACACTATCTAGTTTACATGATAACCAAAAAATGTAAAAGAGAAAGTTTTTAATCTTACCCTTATTGTAAGTGTAGTTGGATCACTGTCTGTTATTTTATTTGGGTTAAAGTTTGATTTAGCATCTCTCAGGAACTGTGGTTTCAAAATATATCCAGAAGCACCATTATCCAAAAATTTCCCATTTTGTAGGTCCATAGGCAGACCAGGGGTCTGGAAATTTAAGGCCACTGTGAGAAAGAAATATTTTGACATCGTGAGGAAATAGAGGATATAGTTAAAGAAACACCGTTAAGCGATTCACTGAAATCTAGTTATAGATTACGTATCCTCAAATGTTCTATGGACAGACATGATTAGCCTAATAATTCATGATTTTTAAACATTTTCCTCCTGCCATGTCTATATTAATGCGTGTCGATGAGTTGCAAAGTTTAATCTGTAAGTTAAATTATTATATAGCTTTGAGTAAAGAAATCAAAATGGCACCTGGTACAGATTACAGAATAGCAAAGTACATGTCAGGGAACATTCAAGAAATATGAGAATAGGGAAAATCAATACATTAAATGCCAGACGTGTAGACACCAACTATGTCATAGACGTTCAGGTCCAAGAGGTGCTGTTGTCACTTGATGAGAAAGTGAGAAACAGGTAGAGATTGATAACCATTGTTAAAATATAAAAATACCTTGATATGGGCTGGTAAATAGCCACTATAGACAGTACCTCCCTCCACCTCCCCACTGGCCCAACTCTCCCCCTCTCCTCAAACCTATGGACCTTGCCACAATCCAATAAGAGAAGGGTTACACTAGACACTTTCTGACTTTCTGACTGGCCAGTGCTGTACCAGCTATGTAATTTGGGATAAAGAGAGTGTGGGGAGAACAAATAACACAGGTGTGCAATCCCATTCACTTTTCAAGACTATGAACATAGAAGTATAAATGATAGGGGTCACGTGATCTGAAGAGGCCTTGAGTATATCTTTCAAGTGAAGGAACCTGATCTTTAACGTCTTTTGACATCCATTTTGGATTTCTTGTTCCCTTCCTCTACCATACATGTTTTGTGCTCATTCCTCATGAATTTAACCCCCGTCCCCCAACCCTCACCTAAATTTACCCTCTGAAACCCATTTAAGAATGGTTCCAACTCTTGAAATCTATGATTCACCATTAGTGCCTGACCCCAAAGCCCCCAGGTCAAAATCTTCATAGGAAGCTTTTTTCATAAATTCATAAAATGAATGCATTTTATGTGACTTTTGCAAACAACTCAATATCCTGTATAACATACCCATTTGACAACCTATATTCCAAAATTCTTGAGGATTAAAATTAGAAGAGTCTGCTCTTGTTGCTTTGGGATATATTCTGGTAAGGAACTTCCTGGTGTGCAAAATAAACTCTTGGACTGAAAAAAAGATTATTAAATCACTGTGAAAAATTTCAAGTAAATTAAATAAGCTACTATTTCTATGCAATATAATTCTACAAAAATTTTGATATGTATTATCTTGGCAAAAATATTTGCAATTCATGAAAATCAAAATAAATCCATGCCTTTATTATTTACAGTATGATTCACTGTTATTGAGATATTAATAATTTCATTATACAATTTGTATACACTGATCATTCAAGGGGAAAAAAGATAAGATAATTTACATTTATTTTTCTCACTTCCAAATTAATTTCACTTTGATGTAAGAATACATAAAATTCTAAAATAAAATGCATTTATTTTTCAAAACAAAAGTAATATCTTTCCCATTTTTTTTACTTTGATTTTCATATTAGGACAGAATCACATGTAAGTCATATTAAGCCTTCTGATTCTAGCTAAATTAATCCCATTGAGCATTTCAAATTCTCAGGATTAAAAGGAACCCTAAAGTTATTCGGTTCAACTCCCAACCCCTCCACTCCAGCATCTTCCCCCCAAATTCATTCGATCTCTGTTTACATCTCTCTATTGAAAAAATCACTACCTCCCGATACTTTTAATTCTGTCAAATGTCTTCCTTACTAAGATAATGTCTATACAATTGTAGGATATATGCATGCATGTACAAACACACAGCCTATTTGAGTTTCTATATATATTCTTTATGATTCTTCTTACCTATATTCTAGTTAAATCACTCAGAATTCAAAACTAATTTACACCCTTTACCATTTGACACCCCTGTAAATTTTTAAACACATATTCATCTTTCTCCAACGTTTTTCTTCTTTCTCCAATCAGATCCTGTTCCTACAACCATTCCTGATAATATGGTGACCAATCATGGGAGAAACAGTGATTGCCTATGGCCCACTATATTTGCAAATCAAACTACAACAGAATCATTTCCTCCACCACCCTAAATACTATTCGTTAAGAAGCACTATCAACTTAAAAATTACAGTTAATTCTATCAACAGCTATTTTTTAAAGTAACGCACTCCTTGAGAGAAAGTTTATTTTGAAGCCGCCCACGTATAAACACGCAGGGGTGTCCAAGTACCATGATCCCTTACCTAGTCCTAAGGGATGTCTGTCCTTAGGCAAAACATACTCTCCTAGGTCTTAATGTTTCCCATCTACAAAGTAATAAACATGAATGATTGCTAAGGTTGCATAACATAATATTATTTCGTTACTTCTGAGATTAACCTTTAGGTATTAAACATGCTTTGTTATTACAAATTCAGTTCATGTTCATTTTAGAAATAGGAGGAAGTCAAATAAGAAAAAAAGAAGATATAAGACTACATATAATCTTAGCACTCAATGAATAATAACTGGTAACTCCTTGGTATGTATCCTTCTATTCTTTTGTACATATATGTTAATTTTTTAATTGAAAAATATAGTTATTCCCTTTTATAAACTGCCATCTTTTACTTACTAAAATAATGTGAAAATTATTCCATTTCAATAATATTTACCTAAAACATTATTTTTAGTGGTGTTTATTATGTCTATAACAGTGATCCTTGCAGTTAATCCTTTGACGACATCATTAATCATTTACTATTGACTTTTGGTGCAAGAAAAATGCTCAATACCCTTTCTAAGAGACAGTGATGCTATACTTTGAACTCTACTCAGAATTATCTAATCCTTTTCCAAATTTTTTGCAAGTATTTAATATTATGAGAGTAAGAGAATTATAATTTTGCTGTGTCCAGAGGTCCTATCCTCATGAACAACAAAAACCATGCAATAGTTTTAAAGGACAGAGGCCAGTAAAACAGGCCATACAAACTCTCTTCACCACACTTTACGTTGCAGCCTAACACACATACAACGTGCACAATTTTTTCATAAAACAGCACTTATTCTTACTGCCTACAATACCCTTTTCTGTATTCTATTCCATTCCATTCTATTCCATTTTATTCTATTCTACACTACTCTATCCTATTCTATTATTTAACTATAGTCCAGACCTATTGAGTTGATTTTTGTTTACAACACACAGTTTAAAAAAAAAAAAAGGCTCTTCAAATATCCAGGGTCTCTCTCATAGGCAGTTAGAGGATGTGAACTAAAGTATACTTCAAAATCTTTGGACACCAATGGCAAGCCCAGTGAGGTTAACCATTAAATATATCAGAACCTGCATTTCCAAACAGCCAATGCCTTTTCTCAAGTCAGTTGCTGATTTTCCCACTGCAATGTTTCCGTGCAAAATGATAAATTGCAATTTTTGAGATGGAGAGTCACCTGGGTATTAAGTTAGTTGCCCATTTCTTTTTAAGTTTGGAACATTCCCACCATGTGAGTCTGAAAAAGGGGTAGGGTCTGCTTCTCATTCTCTTTCCCAGGCCTTAGTTCATCTTGGGCACTGCCAAACAGAAGAGTCACCTCCTATTTAGAACCAGAGGCAGTGAAAAGAAGATGCAAAGACAGATGGCATTTCTGGAGGTGTGCATCCCTCCAAGTAGTCCTGGTAGTCCTACCTGGATGCCATTTCCTGCCTCTCCTTCACCTTAGACATAGAGTCTCCAAACCTAATTAACTCGACCTCTTAGATACCTATTGAATCCATAAAAATCACTCTGTCTCCAATCTCATGGCCATAAACCTTACCTTCATTACCTCCTTCCTGCCTGTAGTCTCATCCTTTGTCACTACCAGAGACATCTTTCAGAAACACAGTGGGGCGTGCCACTCCTGGGATTTGAGCCCTCCTGCTCACCCTTGTTCCCAGGACAGAGTTCAAGTGCCTTCACACCTCGGTCTGCCTAGCTCTGCAGAGCTACTGCTGCTCTCCCATGCAAACTGCTCACCACAGCCTCACCCACAACAGTGTCTGCACTGGGCATTCTCAATCAAAATGTCAAGACAAAGAAGTTAATTAATGGTTAAGTTCTGTGAAATAAAACTTAACGTAGCCTAAGGCATACATTAATAACTCCTTTCTAAATTATATTAAATATGTTGAAATCTTATGAAAATATACATCTTACAAATACCATTGATTGACCTTAACAGTGTAGCAGTGAATACAACTTATTTAAACACTTCATCTGTTTGAATCATAAGAATTTACCTTTCAACTTTGAAAGTTTTCGGGCTCGTGTCTCCCCGATAGAATTGTTTTCATTAAATTGCTGATACAGTCTTGAATGTTGAAAGCTTCTGAACTTCTCGGCTTTAGTATAAATGACAAGATCAGATAAGGCCAGAGCAATTTTTAGCTTCCTGGTCTAAAAATAAAATGCAGTAATTTCACATTTTTACACTAATCATTTGAAAAAATCCTTTTCCAATAAAGAAAATATGGTTTCAGATAGAGTATTTTAGTTTTTTCATAAGATTATCTCCTCAATAGCTATTTGGATTAAGTCAAGTGATTATTTTTTGTGACTAAAATATTTCATGTTACTATGAGCTGACCTAAATTTTACATCCCAGTTAACGTAATAAGTATTGAGGATGATAATTATTATTAATGCTATTTCCCTTTTCTCAAAGATCTCAGTTTATTCTTATGAATTTTACAAATTTAGGAATTTTAGTCATGAATAAGTATATTTCCGGTTTGGTTTACCATTTTGGAATAACTTCACGTATATAGTGGACATTTGCTCTTTTATAGCCCAGCATCTATTTCTTCTGCCCTTCTGTTAGCCGCTTTCCGGGTTTTGGCTTGGGAAAACATTCCTTGCTCATGCCCAATCCAAGTGTGGATCACACAGATTGGGCCTTGCTAATCAGCTTTGCATTCCCCTAGCAACAGTAATTGGTTCAGGGATGCATGCGTAACCAGCTCATAACCAATGTACAAAAATAAATAAATAAATAAATTTGCTTGCTCTGCTGAGACACAGGCATTCCACTGCATTTGAACCTGAAAAAATATAAAGCTGATTTTTTGCAATGGTCTTGCACCAATGCAGAGAAAGTGGGGACAAAGCTGGAGGAAAAAACAAAGTTCTATTGAACTTGCTTAAGACACTACACCAAGTCATTCCTGACATTAAAACCCCTTGCACTGAATTGTTCATCTATGTGGGTGAATAAATTAATCCTCATTTTATTTGAACCAGTTGCATTGGTTTTATGTCACATGCAAGCTAAAATACCTTCTTTTGTCATGCTAAGGTGTATACTTCTAATACTATTTATTATAAACATTGATTTTCTTGTCTCTGTCTCTACTTGAGGGAAGAGAAATTATGTTGTTTATCTCTGTATCTTTTGTACTCCGTACAATGCCTAGCACATAGCAGTGCATAATATTTGTCAATTATAGAGAAAAACATTTAAAAACAGCTAATGCTGTTTTTAAGAGACAGCTTTTAACTTTTCTTTCCCATTGTCAATTTTTTTCAAAGTAAATTTTAAATGATAGACTAGAGTTTTTATAAGAAGGAAAAAGACTTTTCTCTCCAGAATTTTTTAAATTCTCCACCAATTAAGAAAAAATACTTTTCAATCACTTGTAAGATTTTCACGAAACATCATCTCACCTTCTTTTTCTTGAAAAGCATTGCTGAAATGGCCTTTTTTGATTCTGTTTCCTTGTCTTGATTGTCTTTTAATGAAAAATTATCAGATGCTACTAGGTCTTTAAATTCATCCTCCTCCTCCTCTAAATCTTCCAGTTCTTCCCATTCCTCCACTTTGCCATGCTTATCGGAACCTTTTCTTTCATGGGTTTCCTTTAAGGTTCCTATTTTCTTATTTTTAACTAATATTTTGAATTTTAGTGCCTATGGAAACAATTTGAAAGAGAGATACTATTACACATTTACAGGTAAGTTTGTAACAGTCATTAAAAAGGGTTCATCATATTTTTAATTAGCCCAAAGTAGTAGGATCATAAGAGCCATAAATTTTGCCAGTCACCTAGATTTGCCCTTACCCCTATTGATACCTCAACAGAAAACAGTGATGTTAAGGTATTGACCATAATTCACAAAAAAATAAGCCTGTTATGATTGGAGCTTATTGTATGCCAGCTCTTTTATATTCCACAAATGGGTACTATTTCAAAATTTTTAAATACGTGAAAAGGATAAATGTGTTTAAATCCTTGCCATGTTATGGAAGTTAAAATGTTACGACTTCTGATAGTAAATGCTTCGGGTCATCACTCTCTTATCCAACGTTAAAAGGTATTAAATGAGATCAGGTATATAACAATCTCTATCGTAGTGTCCAGCATCTAGTAAAGACTCGATTAAAGATTTGTAAAGCCTCTTCAAATTTCACCTGTATTACACACAGGCATCATTGGCTTAATATTTCCTGTCCGTCAAAGCTAGGAGCATGGCAGTATTTACCACAAATGTCACTCGTTCTAAATCCAAAGCCTCTGGTTCCAATCTTTCACTTGGTTACTCCTGCCCTTTTCAGACTTTCATTAGTTTAACAAACACACTTAAAAGTGTCTGCTTTGTTCTATTCAATGCTGAAATCTGGGTTATGAAGTAAAGTTCTTTTCTACAAGGATCTTTGATTGCCCCTTCCCTTCTGCCATCCTCGGGTACCCTCTCAAATCACTCTATCAGCTTGGGCCTTCTCTCTCTGACTATGACCCTATGGTACTCTAGAATAGGAAGTTTACCAAAGTGGACTCTGCAGCCACGTGCAACAAGAGTATTATCAGGGGTGCTTGTGAAAGGGATAAATGCCTAGGATCTGCTTCAAAATTAAAGAATCTTGAATTGTGGGGCTGGAATTAGGCCTCCTTAACAAGTCTCCAGGCAATTCTTTTACACACTGAATACTGCATATTGTACGTGAAAGTGATTTTTGCTCTAATTCCTCATTTACTTGTAGGAAAGAATCTCTTCATTTTAGTATGGAAGCTAAAACTTTAATGAAAGCTATGTATTAGAATGCTAAAAAATAGATTTATATATAATGGGAGAAGGGATTTTCTTACAAGAAAGCTAAAAATTATTATAATTTCCAGAATTAGACCATGACTGTTATGTTTAATGATATGTTTGCAGCATTTTGCACAAAGTTCTTTAACATTTCTTTTCTGTCACAATTGAACACATTTAGTCTGTGAGCATTCTGTGAGGCGAAAGAGTCACGTTTTTTTTATTTACCAAACAATTCATTTTTCTGCCTCAGTTCTGTCGTGAGCCCTATACATCTTGTCACTAGTGCCACGAAACCTTCATTCTTAAATTTTCCACTCATTTAAATATAATAAGGAAAAAATATAAAGGGAAATATTCAAATATTACAAAAATATTGCTATACCTACCAAAAATGAAAATGTGTCAAAACTAAACTTTGGTTGTTAGATGATGCTACTGCAAAAAAATAAGTTCATTTATCACCTGATAAAATATGGGATAAGGAAAATGGGAAACCCAAGGAAACTAAGGAGTTGCCAGAGAGGAACAAGGAAAGCCTAGAGAACGTGGTGTTACAGAAGAAAGTGTTTCAAGGAAAGGAAGGACGAGCTCAGGGTATTGAATGTCGCTCAGAGCACAATCAGATGGAGACGGAAATAGGTCCATTAGAATTTATCAGTAAGGAAGTTTTTGATGACCACAATGAGAAACTTACTGTGGAGCAGGTGGAAGAGGAGGACAGATTGGGTAGGTTGCAATGAGATGAAGATGTGGGAAATTGGGCTGTGAGAAGGAATGAATGATAAAGCAAAGAGACAGCCGCATAGGGAAGTGAAATCCTGACGGTAGAAGTCGGGGTGCGCAAATCAAATATTTGAGTTTGCTCAAGGGAAGTTGGAAAGGAAAACAGGGAAATTAAAAAGAACAGATTTTTAAAAGGGGAACTTGCTACCCAGCTGCTGAGATATGGGTACAGACTCTATTTATAGCCTAAAACTTTTGCCCCTTTCTTAGCCTTTCGCCTATAAAACACACCAAATTCCTAGGGCCTAATACCAAATTGCCTTCCAATTGTGGACCCATGAGCTACGGCACACAATCAACATGTGGGTTTTACATTGATCTCTGTATATTCTCTTTATCAAAATGCATTCACCTAACGCTCACGGAAACATTTTCTAGGCAACACATTGGAAAGATACACAACTGTAAATAAAACTAAGCGTTTTCATTGGTCTCTAACACACTTCCATGGGCCAATATAACGGTGACATGTTTTGGCATTCTGTTTCGTTTCATTCTGTTTTTCTTAACATGAGCTTCTCAGACAAAATGTTACCTCTGGGGAAGGTAGTTTGTCTGGGTAATCATCAAGAATATCAGCAAGCAGGGACTCTCCAAAAGTAGTCTGCAAATTGTCTGCCATCACTTCTTGTTGGGAAGGGGAGCAGTGATTTTCTAAAGAGAGCACCACTGGGTAGTCAGATGTCTAAAAAATTAACCATTACTATGGTTATTAATCAGAACTTTTAAATAATTTTAATGCAATTAATATAAGCACTTAACTTCAAACTTAATTCTAATGTTCAGTACCTTTGCAAAATAATTAAGTATTCTTTAAACTGAAAGTACTTTTGAGTTTGACAAAACAGGGACCGTTAAATCTGTATAAAAAGAAAAATTATTACTATTTGCACCAAAAGTACAGGAAACAGCTGAAGCATCCGTCAGTGGGTACTTGTTTAAATAAATTGTACTATATCTGTATAAAGGAATGATATAGACCCATTAAGAAGGTAGAGCTATACATACCGCTGTAGGAAGTTATCTATAGTATTAATATTACGAAGCAAGTTGCCAAAGAGTAATATTCTACATTTTTATTTTTTAAATATTTAGCTATTCGAATATGTGAAAGAAAAACCTATCAACACTGGTCAGTTGGGGGAAATGTTATTTTTCTTCTTTTTCAGTTTTAAGTTCTGTAATCAAAACACATTGCTTTAGAATTAGAAGCAAAAGTAAAGATATTTCCAGTTTTTAGAATAAAGGGAATCTATTACGTGAAGGTGGCTCTCCAGAGGTATTTTCTGTCCTTTCGCACCACTGTAATTTCAAATTTTGTCGCCAGGTAGAGAAGAAAAACATTTTTGGATCTTATTCAAAATTTCTACCTGTGTTTTGATTTCACATATAATTATCAGGACACAAATTTATCAACTCATAAACAAGCCGGAGAATCACAAGCTTGCAGCATCATCACAGCCCTCAAAACAGGACATGTGATATTATCTCTTTTTAACGTATGAGTGTATTAGTTTCCTGTTTTCTGTGGCTGTTATAACAAATTACTGCAAACTTGGTGGCTTAAAACAACAGAACTTTATTCTCTCACAGTTCTTCTAGTTGCCAGAATTTAAATTGCTTTCACTGGGCTGAAATCAAGGTGTTGGACAGGCTGTGCCCCCTCCGGAGGCTCTAGGGGAGAATCTGTTCCATGCCTCTCCCAGCATTTGGTGGCTGCTACATGTCTTGGCTTGTGTCCACATCACTCTCATCTGTGTCCCCATCTTCACGTTGCCTCCTCCTCTCGTGTGTCAAATCTCTCTTTACCCCCTCCTTACGGAAGTATATATGATGGCGTTTAGGGCCCACTCGGATGGTCCAGAATAACCTCCCCAAATGGTGGTCTCCCACATCATCACATCTGCAAAGACTCTTTGTCCAAATAAAGCAATATTTACAAGTTCTAGGAAAAAGAACCTAATATCTTTAGGGGCCCTTATTAAGCCTACGACAATGACCTTCTCAACTATACATTCTATTGAGTATGTCTATTGACTCACTCTAACATCAACAGGAAGCGTAAAGTTTTTCCCAAATGTAATAAGTGATGTTGAGACTGGGCAAAGTGAAGGCTTAGCAGGTGGATTCCTCCATGAAGCCCTGACTTCACTGATGGGGCAGAGTCCATTTCTTCATCTTCTGTGTCCTTGGCCCCATCCTCTTGGAAGATCCTCATGTCTTTCTTGTATCTTCCTTTGCCACACCTAAAGTGGATGTTGAGGAGTTTGCTCTCCTTAAAGCCAAGCAATGTTTGTAGCCCACTTCCTGTCCAAAGGTTGTTTTAAAGCTTACCTAAGACTCAGACTTGTAGGGCTTTTTTGGGTTTTTTGGCAATATAATTCCCACAAAAACTTAGCTTTCATGTATATTTGTTCTAGTAAACTATAGGCACAAGTAACTAGATCCAAGTTTCTTTCCTAGTCATCGTTATCAAGTCTATTTAATTTCACTTTCTCTCTTTCCCAAATTACTAGTGACAATCTTGAGTAGGAAATTCAAACTTCAGTCTGATTTATGATGCAAAACTGAGTCGTCTTGTTCCACTGAGAAGTCTCATTGAGTTTTTGGTGCTCAAAGCCTTGTTTTGAATCTGATCTCTTTCTCTCTGTTTTTTAAAATAAATGTTATTGTATATATTTAAGGCATACAACATGATGTTATGGATACATGTAAATAGTGAGAAGGTTACTACAGTGAAGCAAATTAACATATCAATTATCTCACATATTTACCCTTTTTTTTTAAATGTACAAATAGCTCAAATTCTTTGCTGGGGAATTAAATCATTTGTGCATTTTGATTTAACCTAATTCAATTCTTTCTCTCTTTTTTTGGTAGTTTTATTCTCACTTTAATTGTAAATTTCTTTGGGGGCTTTTTTATTTCAAAATATTAATTAGGCAGTACAAGTGTTTTTGTTACATAGATATCTTGTATAATGCAAAGTCAGGGCTTTCGGTGTGTCCATCATCAGAATAGCGTTCAGTGTACCCAATAGGTAAGTTTTTATCCCACACTAACCCTCCTGCCCTTCCCCCTTCTTGGTTTCTCATGTCCTTTATATCACTTTGTGCCTGTGTATACCCATGTATCAGCTCCCACTTATTAGTGAGAACATATGGTGTTTCATTTTCGATTCCTGAGATACTTCACTTAGGATAATGGTCTCCCATTCACTCCATGTTGCTGCAAATGACATTATTTCATTCCTTTTTATAGCTGAGTAGTACCCCATGTTTTA